CGTGATCTGACATCAGGAATTTTGAAACCTGATTGTAATCGATTAAAATCTGATGATTTTAATTGATTACTATCACCCGATTTTACTTAGTAATACAACTCAAAAAAAGGATAAGTGCGTAATGATAGAAGTTTAGGGTTAGGGCATTAGTAGAAGTGATTATGGAAATGGAATAGCACTTATTATATGCAAAATTTTGTTCCTGTCATTTTTAATTAGTAAACCAAGGTCAGTTTAGATTATCGATTATGATATAATTAATCAATTATAATAGATTTTGATTTATGATAAATCATACCACTGATAGCTTAGTCAATCAATCATAATCGATTAAATAATTGCAACCGATTATAATCAGGTTTCAAATTTTCTTGATATATTTATTTGGATAATCACATTTCTTAGTTATAAAAAAAAAAAAAGAAGGCTTGACCCTTTAAAAGATTTATTGTATAAATTCAGTTAGTATTTTTATTTTATACACAACATACCGGTCAAATACAAGTGCGATATCATTCATGTGGACTTACCAGTTTGAAATATTTAGCATTTATTTGATAATTGTTTTCCTTAAAGTGTTACAAAAACAAAATCCTTAAAAAAATAAGTTTTTTTTGTTACACTGAAAAAAAAAATTTATTTTGGCTATCAGGATTTTGCACGTTATAATTAATACGTGCATAATTAATTGTAATAAGTTTTTAGCAAACCTGCTAAATATTTGTGTTAGAAAATCTTCTATCAGATTCTCAAGCATTCTTAAAGATATAGATATATAAACAATTTGGAGGGTATATCAATTCTGCTAAAGTTAATAACTTATCAAATCTGCCAAATAATTATTCAGCTAATTTTTATCAGGTGTCCTAGCAAATTTTTGAAACCCATTCATATAAACAGACATGATTGCACAATAATTAAGTAAAATCAAATGTTTTTTGCTTAGTAATAATACCTTTCATTAATATTTGAATCTGGCTTTTAAAAAATATCATGCAAAAGACATTATGGTGTCCAGTTTACATGTTTCAATAACGTAAATTGTTATTGTGCATTATACTTCTAATTACTGTAGTTATTATATATAACAGAAATAATTGTTGTTCAAATTTATATATTCAAAAGTAAACATTATAATTGTGTAGTGCAAAACAAGTATCTAAGCCTTGGCCATGTAAAAAGTTTACATTAGCATTAATGTTAATAATAAAAAAATTTTTTTGTTAGAATTTTTTTATAAATTCATTTAATGCTGTCTTATTAAAAAATCAATATTTTCTAAAATGACTAAAAGAAAACAAAATAATAACTCAACTTCAAATGATACAGAAACAGACTCCAGAAATTTAAACAATCCAAAATCAGAGCATCCACTAACAGAAGTTTGGAAATATTTTGAAAGAGATGAACCCAAAGGCGATGGTCATTGGGAAGGAACCTGTATGTACTGTAAAAAATTTTATTCGTGTGCCAAGCCAACTACTTTGCGAGCACATCTTGCTAATAGCTGTAAAAATATTTCTGAGGAATGGAAACACTATTTTAATTATATTTTAGTCAACAATTTGAAAGATATTCCAACTAATGAACCTCTTTATGACATGCCAAATACTACTTCATTTTTAGTTAAACAAAAAAAAGCAAAATTAACTAATTGGTTTGATTCTGTCAGAATCGAGCCATCTAAACAATCAATAATTGATGAAGCTATTGCATTAGCCTTTATTATGTGTGGTATTTCTTTTCGTATAATTGATAATCCTTTTTTCGTAAATGCTCTAAAACTTCTTAATCCCGGTTATGAAGTTTCATCACGTGAAATTCTTTCTGAACGTCTATTAGATATTGAAGTTGCAAAAGTTATTAATAAAATTGATAAAATTTTAGACCATACTACTAATCTTACTATTGGTCTTGATGGTTGGACTGCTCCTAATGGATTATCAATTTGGAATTTTGTTATCATGATACTATTACAGCAAGAATTTCTTTATGAACTTGGAAATTACTCAGAACAATCACATACAGCAGAATTTCTAGCCAGTAAAATTGAATCAAGATAGTTCTCATATACTATCTGCCAATAGTTTCAAAGTTTATCACTTACTGCAGGTATAGCATTTGTTGTTTAGAGATAGTTCACACATGCTATCTGCTAACAAGTTTAGAGTTTATCACTTATTACAAAAACTTAGTATTATACATACTTTGACAAAGACTTTTATTGATTTAATTAAAGAAACCTACACTTCTTGTTTATAGTACAAGTGTAACTATTTTATCTTTTTTTCCTCTTTGCTAACTATACCAAAATTTTTAACAAAAAGTAGGCATTTTGGCTCACCATCTCTAAAAGATCAGCATTGTTTATACCTACCAAATTTAGATAAACTTAGTAGAATGCAACTATATATTTGTTTTGTTTATCAATATAGTGCTATGTTATAGGAAAAGAATTGGTATCTCTAGTTAGAAGATATCTGACTTTGGTAATATAATTAGAATGAGCTCATAATGATAAAATGAAGCTTTATAGACAAGATATATTGATTAGTTGCAATTAATATATAATTTTTTAGGCCTTGGCACAGATAAAAATAGGCTATTGTTTCTCTACAGTTTT